GGAACGAAAATTTCTGACCCAAGGAGTCGAAGCAAAGTGATAAGAGTAGGGGTGGCTTTCTATGTTTATTATCCTGAAATAGGGATGGTACTCAATTGTTATCAGATATATCATCTACTCATTTCAATTATTCTCATCTACAACATCATCGCCCCGTTCCTGGGGAAAAGGGGTGAGTGGTGAGTGGACGAGCAAGCATGGGAGGCCGATGGAGAGCATCACGGCGTGAGATGAGAGAGGGGCACGCGTGGGAACAGGGAGACCAGGTCATACAGGGGGCAGCAGGTGCGGGTGGCAGCAGGTGCACACTTGCTTCATGTGACCTCGCGCCATCCTCCCATACACTCCTCCACCTTCTCCTCGTTCTCATCCCCTTCAACAGCCTCTCCTTCTAATAATCCCTACCCTCCTCCTCCTCCTTCGCCTCCCTATCATTCACTCACTCAAGCTTTGTTTGCTTGCTAAGAGAGATCCTTCCCGAACAATGCAACGCCCCCCCCTCCTGAACAACGCTATCCCAGCTGAGCCTGTACGGCTTGGCCTTCAGGTGCCCGAGGTGGCAGAGGAAGAATCTCGACGTGCCCCCGAGCTGGTTCGGCAAGTCTGGGCCAACGGCCCTCCCCATGAATAAGCCAACTGCTTCACCGTGGGCGAGTAACGTCACATTACTTGAATTCTTCTGGAAGGACTTCGATGCTGCGTCAAGTCGTTTCCGTATCTTCTCTGAGTTCTTCCCATCCCGATCGCACAAGCAACGGTTGGCAACTTTGCAGAGGATGTCGGACAACTTAGGCGGCCCTGCTGCGACGACGGCAGGCACTTCGTGATGCTGCACAATTCCGCATCATGATTCGTACACGTTGCCAATCATCCCAAGAATACCACCAGCTGCTGGAGAACCATGCGTCTTCATGGTAACAATGTGCTTCGCGAGTTCCCTGCAGTTCGGGAACCTCGCAGACAACGAATACAATCGTGATCCAACTGGTGAAGCGTTCCACTCATCAGCACCTCCGTGGTCACGATCTCGGCGAAGGTGAGAGGGCACGCACATGGCCAGGTCAGCCAAGGGACCAGTCGGTGACGCCTCCCACGCAGCATTGTCGGCTGCCTCAGCCTCCGCCGTAGCCAGCTCAGCAGCTCGATGCTTCCGCAGCGCTGCTCGCGCAAGCTGACCTCTCTCGGCGAGCTGGGCTGGGTTGAGGAGGGACAATTGCAAGTCTGATGACGGGCGCGCTCTTGACGAAGAACTGGAATCTGACTGCGACTGGGGCCCGATGCCGCCGAAGGGCCTCTTGTTCCCTGCCTCCTTCGCTTCGTTTCCTCGGTCAGCTAAGTCCTGGTACTTCTGGATGCCCTCAGGTCCGAGTTCCTTGTACATGATGGACAACTGCTGCAGCGAGGGCCGAGCCGCCCCCTTCAGCCCGACAGTTTGTTCACCGCGAAAAGCATCCCAAGATGATAGCTTGCGAGATTTTGCCTTCGGCTGGTCGCCTTGGCCGTCACTGCCAGCAGCTTCAGGCGCATCTCCACGCTCGGCCCTGGCCCTGGCGGCCCTGGCAATTGATTTGAACCCCCAACAACCTCTGGCTAACGACTCCAGCTGTTCATTGATCCAATAAGTATTCAACCCAGCCATATCAAGCACTCGTCGCTGCACGGACCTGCCCACTTGGAAACGTCTGTTTTTCTGATGTCTGTACTCGATCTGCACTGTCTCATCTGACATGAGGAGCGCTGTGCTCCGCAGGTCGGCCTGAGCACTGGGAGACAGCAAGTCTTTATGGAACCGAACAAACTCTGCAGACCACTCGTCCAAGCGCTTCCCACACTCTGAATCTGCTAGAACTTCATCGGCAAAATCAGGTCGGTTGATGATCCCGAAAGTCTTGTACGGATAGTTCTTGTGAGCCGCGCGCAGCTCGTTCATAATGCAGGCCCCTCGAGCCAACAACGTAAATACCTTGGTCTGCCAAGCCTTTGTTCGACGCGATGCTGGTATCATCGCCCAAGCATCAGGGTTCGTCATCAGCGCCAAAGTCTCATCGATGAACGTGCTCTCGACGACGCCTTCGTACGCCAAAGGAAGCCTCATCTCCCGCTTCGGCCTCGCACCAAGGTCGCTACCAGCAGCGCCCCCCTGGCGCGCTGCATTGATCTCGATCGTTTTCTGCTTGTTCTCCCATTTGTCCCCAGCAATGCACAGCAGCTTGTCCATTACCTTGATATGCGGGCCTAGGGCGGTGAACAGAATGACGCTCTCGACCAGGACATTCCCAGACTGAATCCATGCACACACTGACTGCCGAAACCTGTGCTGTTCTCGTTTTTTTTCTTCCTCGACGCTGGACTCCGAGGGCTTCTCACATTTGGCCGCAGGATCCGCTGCAGCGCCAGGGCCTATGCCTATGCCGCCATCGGCATCGTCACCAGCATCTTCTGCGTGATCATCTTCTATTGGGAGCGGCAAGGCGTCGTCGTCGTCGACATCACCGCCCACCACAATCATAGCTGCAGCACTCCCCGCTCGAACGCTGCACAAGGTCTCAGCGTAGTCCATATACGCACGCGAGAACACCCCGAACACCAACTCCATTATGCTGCACCATTGAACGCAGTCTTCGCAATGTGTCCAATTTCGGCTAGGGAATGACCCTGGCCCATTCCATACAAGTGCTCTGGTACCTCTGGTTACGAGCTGCTTGATGATCTCGTCGTCGCTCTCGGGACCGTCTCGGTGCACGACAATCTTTCCATTCTCTTGCTGCCAGGGCCCACTGAATATCGCCAGCAATTCATTCCTCCGAAAAACATTCTCAGGTGTGTCTGGCAGTACTCGGTTCAACTGTCGCACGTTCCACAAAGAGTCGCGGGCGATAAGTGTAGTTCTCTCAATCGATGCAGTACAAAGAACGCGGCGAACTGCGCCGCGAAACAGCTTCAAGTGGTTCTGGAAAGATAATGACAAGGAAACGTGCTTCAGCTTGGAGACCGTTGACTTCATCAAATTGCATACCTCTTCTCTCGCGTTACAACACTTGTGAACGAAACACTGTGTGCGAAGCGTTGCCACCATCTGCTTACTCGTGTCTTGCCCATGTACTCGTGCTCGTTCAGCCCTCTCGATGGCGCCGTCTCCGTCGCTGGCGGAGAGCCGCTGGACTCGCTTGAATCTGGAACCGATGGAGTCCACGTCCAACAGATCTTGCAACAAGTCAACGCACAAATAAAAGTTTGATGATGTAGTCCGTGACATGCACAGCAGGGGCAAGGGTGGCTTCCACGTGAACAAGATCCACTTCGACTTGTAGTGAACCAATGCTCCAACAACGATTTCTGATTGTAGCAATTTTGCAACCCCCGTGTCCCTCTTATCACTCTCGCCAGCGGTGCCCTGAGGTAGTGCTTGTAGTTTTTTCAATATCTCATCTGGCACGCCGTACAGCTCGTCCTGGTCGATAAGCGTCATTGTCATTGGAGTCTCGTCGTATCGGCAGGACGTAGTGAAAGTGTGAAGCACCCCGCCGTCCGAAGACGACACCCTCTCGCAAAGCTGATCGAGGTTGTCTCGCATCTGCCAATAGAACAACAACAATGCTACACATGCTAATCTCGATGATGTCTTCAACAGAACTTTCCTCGTTACCTCCAATCGCTTGGCATGTTCTGTGTAAGTGCTCACTGTGAGCAGCGCACAACGTCTAGATACAATGTCATTCGCAACCTTCTCGAAATTCGCATCCTTTCTGATGCGGTCGATGCTGCCATTCTGAATCAACTTCGCGATGTTTCTGAAGACCTGTGGCGTTCCTCTGATAATATGATTGGCACTACTAACGTCGTGGTCGTGATTGCCAGATTCTCCTCCTACTTCCAGGGATTCATCAAGTGGTACTGCACCGATTCCGTCGATGTCCTCAATACGTTCTAGGCCACAAGCTGCACCACGTGCAGTCTTTACGAGACTATGGCCTGCTTTGCTGTCTCTCGAAGCTGCGCTCTGGCAGCGTGAACTCTCATGACTGGAACTGGAACTGGTTCTGGTTCTGGCGGCTCTGGTGGATCTGGCACTGGTGGATCTGGTACCGCTACTATGATGGCACTTTCCTGGTGATCAACGTCGGGTCTCTCTTCTGGTGGGTCGTCCTCCAGGCCGCCGTTCGACAAAGAAATCCAACCTGTTAAGAAATCGTCTATGTGCTGGTCTGGGCTGGCCTCCGCGGCGGCGTGTTCAAGCGAATCTACTAGCCACGGGTTTACATCGAGAGGCTCAAACAAACTTTCATTGTCGCTGGAATCACTTGGCTGTGGTAGCCGATCGTCTACATTATCGGATGCCATGCGTTGCCAACCGCGTTGGCGCTGAGCCAAAATGGCTGCGGGAGAGAAGCTTTCCTCCCTCCCGCACAGGGGGCCGGAGAGTCTTAAGATATAGCTCCAAGACAGCCCAAGAGGCCTCTAAGTCGGCCCAAGCGCGTTCCAAGATGGCACCAAGACGGCCAGGAGGCTCCCAAGAGAACTCCAAGACTGCCCAAACGCGCTCCAAGATGGCACCAAGACGGCCTCCGAAGGCGCCACAGACGGGCAGGGTCCCCTCAGACGCCCTAAGAGGCCCCAACGAGGTTTTAAGAGCCCCCCTCTTTATTCGGGTGGGCAAGGAACACTCGCGTTCCGCGGGCTCCGCGCTGGCGCACCCCCCCCACACTACTTGAAAACGAACACAGTTTCCACGAGTGCCCTTTTGACTTCGAATATGATATACGACTCTGCATCCTATTCGTCACCACTCCTCCTCTGAGGTTTAACGTTATCGATTTTTTGTCAAAACCATGAAGTGTTTGAAAAGTATTTGAAAAGTATTTTCTAGAAAAATAAGACCTGATCTGTTCCTACGTAAGAGAACTTCTCAAGTCTAACACGACAGAGCGGCATTTTCTTTGCAATCTCATGAATTGAGGCGTCAGCCAAATTCTAGACATGTTAGGATTCTCAATTGCTACCGGCACGCGCACGGCTTGGCACAAAGTAAAAAGCGAGGCTGAAAACTTCATGAGGGCGTTGCCGATCCTAACTTTCTCAGCGTCTCGGGGCGCTAGGTCGGGCAACCCCATCACGTGCAGGTCACTCCGCAAGGGCGGGGGCCCTGGTCGAATGTCCCGCGCTCGGCTCCAGCTGTGACAAGGGGTGCCCAGCCAGACGGCAGCAATCAACCCGTTGTTGACCCAACCTCGCACCAGGCGCTGCACCCGCTGGCGAGTGAGGTCATACTCATTTCCCCAGCGGATGTCCCACTCGAAAATGGCATAGCCCAAAACGCGCTGCCGCCGTCGCCAGGCCCGGCTGAAGTTGCCGGAGCCGCTGAACACCTCGAGCGCTACGGCCCCGCCCGCACGGGCGGCAAAGGCCGGCAGCGCTCGCAGAGGATGTCGCCAATCCTCTTGGCGCAGGCGATGGCGTGGTCGAGGAACGGCTGTGGCAACTTGGCCAGCTGGTCGGCGACGCGGCCTCCCTTGCCGTACCTCGTCACCGAGCTGTCGCTTGCCCAGCGGCCGCGGGCCTTCACCTCCGCGATGCTGCGGCGGCCGCTGGCCAGGTCGGCGGACGCTCCGCCGCGCCGCAGCTGGTACAGGCCCGGTGGGCCCTCGAGGCCCAGCTGCTGGCCCGCCGTGCGGAACGCCTGCGCCAGCTGCACGTGCCGCACCTGGGCCACGAGGCCCCTGTCGTTGACGCCGGCCTTGAGCAGCTTCAGCACGTCCCCGATGAAGCGGTAGAACGGCAGGTCGCCCAGCACGCTCTCGTTGAAGGCGCCGGTCTTGCTGGGCGTCTCCTCCTCCATCGGAAACAGCACGAGCGACCACGCGTCGTGACCGGCCGCCCGCACCGGCGGCACCACCTGCCGCCCGGTCAGCGACATCAGCTCCACGGGCCGCAGGTAGAACACGAACATCACGATGACGAGGCGGGCGGCGTGCAGGTCCTGGTTCGCCACGAGCTTGTTTGCCACCGCGCAGGCGACCTCCCACGGCAGCGGCAGCCGGCTCCGCGGCGGCACCAGCCGCCTCCACCCCTTCAGCGCTCGGCTGAACCGGGGCAGTCCAGCGACGGACAGGAGCCGCGGGTAGTGGTACAGCAGCACCGCCTTGAGCCTCGTCCCCTCCCGCGCGTCGCCGCCGTCGAAGAACGCGCGGTGGGCCCACTCCACAGCTGCCTCGTCGTAGACCTGAGCGGTCTTGAGGCGCAGGCCCAGGGTCTTGGAGAAAACCCTGAACTCCACGAGCGCCGACTGGTAGACCCGCTGGTTGTGGTCGCCCACGCTCCCCCTCTCGAGCAGCGAGAGGCCCTCGCTGTCTGTCACGCGCTTGTCCTCGGGGAACTTCGCTTGCCGGGCAGCGGCGCGCCCCCCCCTCGTGGCCAGCACCTCGGGCCGAGGCTTGGCTTGTCTCGCCGATGCCTTTGCCCGGGCCCGCCCATGGGGCGGCCGCGGCCGCGGGCCAGCCTGTGACAGCGCCGCCGCTCGCGACAGGGTCGGCGGCTCGCCCTGCACGGGCCGCCGCTTCGCAGCCCCGCCCGGCCTCGCCAAGCTGTCGGTCGCCAGAACCGCATCCCACGAGGACGGCAGGGTCGGAGCACCTGCGAGTGGTCGCGGGAGGCCGGTCGTCATCCGGCCCAGGCAAACCTGGCGGAGGCTGGAAGCGCCCAGGTTTGAGCCCAGATGGCTTCGGCTGATAGCGACGAGAAGGCTCGTCGGCCACATTCAACTCAGACCGAATCCACCGAACCCGAGGATACAAATCGGCCGCAAACACCGTCGCCGCCCACTGCCTGCACACTCTCATCAGGGCCACGCTCGACGATCGGCCCTTCTCAAAGGCCAGGACCTCGGACAACCCGTCGGTCAGAAAAAGGATCCGCTTGCCAAACTCGCTTAAACCCCGGCTCGCATGCCGGACCCCCCAGACCAGAGCGCGCCCTTCCAAGATGGGCATCGCCTCCCGTCGCTTCCAGCGGCCGGCCGAAACGGTGGCCCAGGATCCCCGAAAGATTTCGGGCCCGATCTCCGGGACAGCCCCGCTCCGATCCACCTCGCCGAGGGCTTCCAGGTGCCGAGCCGCCCCGACACGATCCAGGTCGTCCAGACCGGCCGCCGCGGCTAAGTTCAGCTCCTCCCGGAGCGAGGCGTCTCTCGGCCGAACGCGATCCTCGGCCCCTCGCGAGAAGCGCCACCGGTCCGACCACCGGCCAGCCTCTGCGATGGACTGAGTGTCACGCTCAGCCAAGCAAACACCACGACCCCAGGGGGAGGCGTCTGTACACCGCACCTTTGAGCTCCAATCGGCATCGAGGCGACGACGGAGGAGGGGGAGGAGACCAATTGCCCAACGAAGCTCCCTCCGCACGGCAGTCCACAACCTACGGCGAGTGTCGGCCCCCCGCTGACTGAAGGCGTACGCAGCAGAGAACACACACAGGGCCTCCGGCCAAATTCGAGCGGCAAACGTGAAATGTCCAATGATGGCCTCGAGGTCCCTGCCTGTAGCAAAGCCCTTCTCTAGGGGCCCTTGAATGCCGAGACGGAGCCTCCACACTCTGCGAGGGCTCACACGAACCTGAGGGCACTCGTCACTAAATTCCCATCCCAAGACGGATCCGCCAACTGAGCTCTCACGAGGATGCATGCTGAGCCCAGCGGTGGTCAGGGCGTCTAAAACGGAGTCGGCCACAGCGTCGACCTCGCTGGCCTGACGCCCGATGGCCGCGAAGTTGTCTACGTATTCAGTGTGAGCAAACCCCGAGCGGCCCAGACGCACCCCGGGCTTCTTATCCGAGAGCTTGTTTGAGAGGGACACGCCGGGCTGCCGAAAGGCGTGAAATTCATGAATTCGCTGGCACCACCACAAGGCATGGTTCCAACCCATTGGCACAACACGCAGGTGTGGGTACACGAGCTGGGTCGGAGAGACAGTGGCGCCGTCGAGCTCAGCGACCCCAGCGAGTCCGGCCGCGACAGGGCGGAGACAGAAAAAGGGGGCGAGCTCAGGAGGGAGGAGGAGGTGGTAAAAGGCATCCTGGATGTCGACCTGAGCAAGGCACACTGGGGGCCCCGGGTCAACCTCGAGGGACGCGAACGATCCGCCGGCGGCAAGGTCGACCGGATCAGGAGAAGCGAAGCACAAGTTAGACAAACGAGCGTCGACAATCAACCTTTGCTTGCCGTTCTTTTTCCAAACAGTAAACAGGCCTACTCGGGGCGATCCATGCCGCCTCCACTCGAGCATGCCTGCGCCGTCAAGGGCCGCAAGGAGACGCGCATGCCGGCGCGGCCTCCCACGCAGCGAAGGATCGCAGTATGGACGCTTCAAGGCCGACTCGGCCACCCGCGCCGCCGCCTCCGATGGAGGCAAAACTTTGTCTTTCAAAAAGGCATCGACTACCATTGGGCCCTCATCCCCGAGCAAAGTTGTCAGCGCTCGAGGGCCGCCCCCACCAGCAGGCAGAGACAAAAGAGAAATGTCGAGCCGAGCGACAGACACCTTCTCGCCGGTGTAGCTGCGCTTAGCCAGGAGCTCCGCGAGGGCTCCCTGGCGAGTCAGGTCGGCGGGCGGCCGTCCGAGCCCAGCTACCGCAGCCTGGATCACCCCCAAGCTGCGCTCCTGCCCGGCACTGGCCCGCTGCCCCTGAGGATGCGGATCAGCAGACCCGCGGTCGAGCTCGTTCAGCGTGATCGCGCAGCAGCGAGCCCAGTCTTCGCAATGGGCTCGCTCCCCTCGGCGGCGCTGCCCCCGACGAGACTTTGGCTGACCGCCATCGTCGCTGCCCGTGCTCGGAAGGCGGTAGTGAGGCAAAGGAAGAAGATCGCGATTGACGACCCTGCCCTCATGCGAGCCACGTACAAAGGCCGCGCTGGGGCTCATGTCCAGCGGCCCCCCTGCATACTCGCCGCGGGATCGGGGGCTCCCACGGCGGCCCCATTCACTGGTCATGCTTGCCCGCGAGTCTCCGTTCCTCGCGGGCTTTCCTCATCTGCTTCACGACGCCAGAGTCCCGCTCTAGCTCGGAGGCGACGTAGGACAGCAGCTCCGGCGCCACCATCACCTCTCCGTACTCACGATGCTTTCCCGAGAAGACAGCCATCTCCTCAAGGCGCGCGCCCTTGCCGCCCTTATTGTCCTGCTGCTTGCTGGCGTCCGACTGCCGGTAGACCTCGTAGTAGAAATACTCGATGAGCTGCATCCGCCGTACGATGCCCTCCGCCGCCGCTAGGTTCACCACGTCGCACTGGTCGTGGGTCCCCAGGCGCTCGAGGATCTTCGCCAGCGTCTCATGCTCGGACACGCCCCACTGGTCCATGGACAGCCTGTTGTCGGCTCGCCAGCGCCGATCCCAGCCCACGGGCCCCTCACTCCGACGGTCGAGGAACCTTGTGCACCATTCTGCCGTCTGTGGGCCCGGCACGGGCCAGTCCGTCTGCTTGACCGCGCTCACATCGCGAGCGACGTCGCGCCAGGGGCGATGGCGGTCACCTCGAGAGCCCCTCTGCAACTTCAGCAGCCTCGCGTCATGATGGGCCGGCCTCCTTCGACCGGCACGCCTCCACGTCGCCGTCGCCGATGTCCTCCATCAGCACGGATACCCCCATCAGCACGATCACTCCCTTTCGGCCCGACACCATCTCCGACCCGTTGAACGCCACGTCGTCTCCCCGGCCCACGCTGCCTCCAGGGAACACCGCACTCTCGGCCGCCACCCAGCGCACCGCGTGGACCGTCACCGGCTGCACCGTCGGCCGCGCCGGCGGCCGGAAGTCGCGGCCGACGCCCACGTGGCCCTGGAGCGCCGCTGGGCCCGGCCCGTGGGCGGCCCGTCGTCCTCGCCCTCGCCGGGGGCCCCCGGCGCGGGAGGCTGGGCCGGCGCGTAGACGGGCGCTCCCGCCGCCACGCGGCCAGCCCCGCCCGCCTGGGCCGCGGCCGGCCCGGCGGCAGCGCCGCCCGCGGCGCCAGCGGCGCCTCCAGCTCCCCACACGGCGATGCCGTACCCGCGACGCTGGTCCTCCAGCCCAGCGGTGTAGGCGCCCTCCTGCATCAGCATGCGCAGCGTCCCCGCCGACGGGAACTGGCCGAAGTGATAGATCAGGTTCCGAGGTACCCCCTCCGGCACCTCGTTGTTCGGCCCCAACCATCGCACGGCGACGGCGTCGTTGAAGTCCTCGATGTACATATCACCATCCGGCGTCAGGATGAGGGCCCGGGAGTCCGAGGACACCAGTCCGGCGAGCACTATTCTCCAGTGCCACTCCGCGGCCCCGTAGTTCACTAGGCAGCTGCGGCCGGCCAGGTGCAAGGTGCCCCGTGGATTGCCCCGCGCCTGCATGGCGCCTCGCGCAGCACGTCCCCAGGACGAATCCGACCAGCACCGCCACGCCGCCGAGCCCGCACGCGAAACTCAGCGCCACGCGCGTCTCCGGCCAGCAGTCCTGCCGGCCCAGCGCCTCGGCGGCGTCCGCCTGGCACGTGCTCGGCGGGCACGCGGGCGGCGGCGGGCACGCCGGTGCCGCCGGCGCCTCGGGGCAGGCGCGGGCCTCTGCGGCCGGCACCGCCGGGCAGGTGACGCTCACCTGCGGGCACGAGACCGCCGGCGCTGGCGGACACGTGCAGGCGGCCGCCGGCGGGCAGGCCGGCGAGGCCGGGCACGGCGGCGGCTGGCACTTCCCCAGCCACGCGCTGCCCAGGTTGGCCACCCCCAGCACGGCGGCCTGGGCAAGCTGCCCCAGCATCAATGGCCCTGGCCCGTTTCCCCCCTGCCCCCCGGGGAGGGGGGGGCTCGAGCCAGGAAAAACTACAGATCGGTGTTGACGGCGTGTTTCGGTCTTCAGCATATCATTATTCAGCAAGCTTATACAAATATATATATATGTGTGTATATGTACATATGTGTGTAAACATACATACATACATACATACATACATACATACATACATACATACGTACATACATACATACATACATACATACATGCATACATACATACATACATACATACATACATACATACATACTTACATACATACATACATACATACATACATACATACATACACGTATACATATACATATACATATACATATACATATACATATACATATACATACATACATACATACATACATACATACACACATACATATATGCAAACGTACATATATGTGTATATGCACCTTTTTGGCATATATATATACACACGAATACACATGTATACGTATATATGTATACACATATGACCCAAGATGGCCCACAAAGTCTGGGTGGGGAATGCGCGCCGCTCCCAAAGGAGGAGGAGCCGGAGGAGGAAGAGGAAGAGGAGGAGGAGGAGAAGGAGGAGGAGGGAGGAGGAGGGAGGATAGGGATGATGTCTGGGATCAACAGCGGCGGGGAAAGGACAAAGAACTGCAGCGAAGTTCTGGTGCGCAAGGCACCTTTGGCCCAGTCGGCCGTCACGGCGCCAGGTGCGCCAGGTGCGCCAGACGCGCCACGTGCGCCAGGCGCGCCAGGTGCACCAGATGCCAAGTGCGCCAAGTGCGCCACGTGCGCCAGCCGCGCCAGGTGCGCCAGGCGCGCCAGGCGCGCCAGGTGCGCCACGTGCGCCAGGTGCGCCAGGTGCGCCAGGTGCGCCAGGCGCGCCGAGTGCGCCAAGTGCGCCAGGTGCGCCAGGTCCGCCAGGTGCGCCAGGTGCGCCAAGTGCGCCATGTGCGCCAGGTGCGCCCTGCGCGCCAGGTGCGCCAGATGCGCCAGGTGCGCCAGGTGCGCCAAGTGCGCCACGTGCGCCAGGTGCGCCAGGTGCGCCAGGTGCGCCAGGCGCGCCAGGTGCGCAAGGTGCGCCACGTGCGCCAGGCGCCCCAGCCGCGCCAGGTGCGCCAGGTGCGCCAGGTGCGCCAGGTGCGCCAGGCGCGCCAGGTGCGCCAAGTGCGCCAGGTGTGCCAGGTGCGCCAGGTGTGCCAGGTGTGCCAGGCGCGCCAAGTGCGCCAGGTGCGCCACGCGCGCCAGGTGCGCCATGCGCGCCAACTTCGCCAGGCGCGCCAGGTGCGCCAGGTGCGCCAGGTGCGCCAGGTGCGCCAGGTGCGCCAGGCGCGCCAGGTGCGCCAGGTGCGCCAGGTGCGCCAGGTGCGCCAGGAGGTGCGCCAGGCGCGCCAGGTGCGCCAAGGTGCGCCAAGTGTGCCAGGTGCGCCAGGTGCGCCAAGTGCGCCAGGTCCGCCAGGTGCGCCAGGTGCGCCAGCTGCTCCAGGTGCGCCAGATGCGCCATGTGCGCCAGGTGCGCCATGCGCGCCAGGCGCGCCAGTTGCGCCAGTTGCGCCAGGTGCGCCAACTGCGCCAGGTGCGCCAGGTGCGCCAGCCGCACCAAGTGCGCCAGGCGCGCCAGGCGCGCCAGGTGCGCCAGGTGCGCCAGGTGCGCCAGGTGCGCCAGGCGCGCCAGGTGCGCCAGGCGCGCCAGGTGCGCCAGGCGCGCCAGGTGCGCCAGGTGCGCCAGGTGCGCCAGGTGCGCCAGGTGCGCCAGGTGCGCCAGGTGCGCCAGGTAAGCCAGGCGCGCCAGGTGCGCCAGGCGCGCCAGGTGCGCCACACACGCCAGGCGCGCCAGCGGCTGGGTTGCTGGTTGCTGGTTGCTGGGGAGGGGCTGGGTTGTTAGGTGCAGTGTCAATCAACAACAACAACAACAACAACAACAACAACAACAACAACAACAACAACAACAACAACAACAACAACAATTACTAGCACGTGGGGACACTCCGTTCTCACCAGTGCCAGGGTTTTCATAGGAGGCGGGCAATACCCCCACTTTGTGGGGGGGCCGGTTCAAGCTCTACCAAATTTCCAAACGACTCTTCGCCACCACCCACACCCAGCTTCCCGCCCTATGACGTTCGGACACTTCACTTCGTGGCATGCGGACGACCGTGGCTACTATTCAGGGCCCCGCGGCCGACGACGACGGCGTGCGCGCGCGAAGAAAAAACGAATGTGTCCCGCATGGTATTATTTGACAGGGATGATGGCCCTGGCAGGTGCGCAACCGTTGTCGCAGAAGTTCGAAAAAGTTGCTCGCAAAAGCCCGTTTGACAGAAATGTTTAAAAAGTGTTGGGTTTCCTACGAATCCGCAAGAGCGCGCGGGATGAGATTTTGACAGTTTTTTGTTGAAAAACCATTGGTTTTTTGATGTTTTTATGTTAAAATCGCTGCGAACACTAAGGTTTTGGAAGGATTTCGTCTTGCGCGCGCGAATGTCCACTTTACCTTATTTTTTGCAAGGGATTCTTGAAATTTGATTATATTAGAACAAGAAATGTCATTTTCTATTGTTTTTTGCAAGGGAAAGCGGATTACAACAAAACAACCGGATCCTGTACACACCCTCTTTTCTGAGGCTTCCTCACGAAAATGATGAAAATGTAGCTGCGGCCTAGGCGGCGCAGGGGGGGCGCGCACCAGGGGGCCCAACAATAATTATTCTTTCGAATAAATAATGTTCAACAACAGCAGCAGCAGCAGCAGCAGCAACAACAACAACAACAACATCAGCATCAACATCATCATCATCATCATCATCATCATCATCAGCATCATCATCATCATCATCATCACCATCATCATAAACAGCTTCATAATCATCACCAGCATCATCATCAACAACATCATAAGCATCATCCTCCTTATCAGCATCAGCAGCACCATCATCAGCATCAGAAACATCATCATCAGCATCCGCATCATCATAATCAGCAGCAACAGCATCATCATCAACATCATCGTCGTCGTCATCGTCATCATCGTTCCGTAACCGACATTATCATCAGCATCAGCATTAGCATCAGCATCATCCTCCTTATCAGCATCATCAGCATCAGCATCAGCATCAGCATCGTCATCATCATCATCGTCATCAGCATCATCACCACCACCACCATCATCCTCATCATGAGTAGCAGCATCCTTATGAGGATGACCATCGTGCTCCCCCTCTTCCTACGCCTCCTACCTATTCGCCCGTCATCGTCCGAGTGCTTCACTCATATCCACCCTCCTCCCACATCCCCCCTCCCCCCCTCCTCCTCCTCCTCCTCCTCCTCCTCCTCCTCCTCCTCCTCCTCCTCCTCCCTTCCTACCTGTGGCAGTGGTGGTGGAACATGGGCCAATGACCAGTCCCCCCAGGGAGAGCCCCCTGCGACGGCGGAGCAGCTCCCGAGGGGCGGGGCGCCTCGCCAGCAGGCCGCCCCCGCTGCCCCGCGGCCCCGACCAAGCTCCGCCCAAGCCGGCCCCCCCGAGGCCTCTCCCAGTGGCCCTCGCGGCCGGCTCGCCGAGCTGCGTCCGCGAGGGCGCCTCCTTGATCCTCGAGCCTCGATCCGCCTCGATCCCTCCTTGATCCTCGACCCTCCTTGATCCCTCCTTGACCCTCGAGCCTCGATCCCTCCTTGACCCTCCTTGATCCAAGAGGGGCCAGCAGCTCGACCCTCCTGGATCCTCGAGCCTCGATCCGCCTCGATCCCCATGGATTCCCCAAAAGCCCTGTCCTCGATCCCCAAAGCCCAGGCCCTCTTCTGCGCGCCGCCGGCGGGCGCGCGGGCTCCTGGCAGCCCTCGCCCACCCTCGCCGCCCCCCGCTGCGCCTGTGAGCATCACCACGGCCTGCCTCCTCTCCACCGTGGACTGCCCGAGGAAGGTGAGCTTGTCGAAGACGCCCATCTTCTTTTATGGATGCGCCGCTTGCTTTCTTTTGGATAAAAAGTCCGCCAGACCCCAGCAGGGGGGGGGGGGGCACACGGGGCCTGCCGCGGTGCTGGCCCCGCCTGCGCTTGGGGAGACCACGTTCTGGGGAGCGGGGATGCGCGAGCGGGGCGGCCAGCGGGCCGGTACCGCTGCGCGGCTCCGTGCCCTCACTGACCTCAGCGCAGAAAACTTCAGCCAGCGCCGCGCGGCCTAAGGCATGGGGTCTGCGGATTCAGGACACGCTGAAGACGACCAAACTATCAGGCAGCAGGCAAGCTGAGGCTTAGAGCGAGATGAAACCAAGCCGCAGATCAAGGAAACAAGCTGGCACATGTTACGGCGCTGCTCTGCTCAGCTTTGCACTGGTTCGCTTTGGATCGCCATGCGGTGAAGTGGAATAAGGTGCGACACGGGACTATAACTGTTTACGCTGCTTCGCGTTTACTCTACACTGCGTTCAGTGGCTTTGCTGTGTGCTGATTTACCATGCACTGCTTCGCATTGCGCGTTGCAGTACATTGACGAACTGTGATTATGGTTTGCGTCTTGCTGGTCTGACTTGCCGTCCTTTGTTTTGCTTGCCTCACATTACTTCCCTTTGATTTTGCAGTACATTGACGAACTGTGATTATGGCTTGCGTGTTGCATTACTTTGCTTTGCCTCACATTACAAATCATAATTCATTCCTTTGCCATTTCAAAGAGGATCTCCTTGAGGAACGAGGGGGGTCCCTAAAGCACCTCGCGGAGGTCCCCAGGAGACCTGGCTTCGGGGCACTGTTCACACTGACGCTCTCGAACAAGAAGACTTCGAACCCCTCAGGGAAGGGCCGACTGGAGACACATCAAATTTGGCTCGGTGTCTTTTCAATACGGCCACGACCATCCTGGCTTTTCAAGCGTATGCGTTATCCAGAGCTCGGGTCTCGTGTCTTGAAGTTGGCAAAAGCGCCGAAAGTGCAAGTGCGCCGTATGCTAATGAGAGTACTGCACCAGTACTGCACAACAACGTTCGTGATTGCGC